CACTTCTTTGGTACCTTATTAGCTAAGGTTTGTAAGGGTGATTTTGCCCTGATGTCTTAATGTTCAGTCCTTTCATCTCAGGAAGTTAGAGCAAAAAAAAAGGGACTTTTTATGCTTTGTTTATTTATCATGCAATGCTCCCACTTCCGTGATTTTTTTATTTTATTTTTTCACGTAAAATTTATACGGATTTCATACATAGTTATAAGTTACTAGAAAGAGAAATTAAAAGGGTCTGTGGATGCCTAAAGATTTATTAGTTATTTGAGCACTCTCCATTTCCAGAAAGGAAGAGAAGAAAAACTAACTTTGTATATTTTCATTCAGTGTGTAATTGGTACAAATGATTCAGTATATAAAAGCACCTAAGAGAATCTGTTGTAACAAACTCATGGTGACGTGGCTACAAAACCGGAAAGAAATGCTAACAGGTGCCAAACAGAAAGCAATGCTAACATATGCTAACAAAATACAAATTGCTAACAGAATACAATCAGAAAAAGAAAAATATGTAATACTGTAATACTCCCCCTCAAGATGGGGAGTAGATGTTGATAATCCCCATCTTGCAGAGAAGATTGGAAAACTGTGATGGATGCAAAGCTTTTGTGAGGATATCTGCTAGTTGATGAGAGGATTGAACATGAAAAGTCTTGAGTGTGCCACGAACAATGCAATCACGGACAAGGTGACACTCAATCTCAATGTGCTTTGTACGCTCATGGAAAACTGGGTTTGCAGCAATATGTATGATAGATTGATTGTCACAAAACATGTGTGCGGCATAAGGGTGCGAAAAACCAAGATCTTTGAGAAGATTAAGTAGCCATAGGATTTCACAAGAAGCATAAGCCATGGAACGATACTCAGCTTCGGCAGAGCTACGAGAAACAGTATGTTGCTTCTTCGATTTCCAGGATATTAGAGAATTGCCAAGAAAAACGCAGAAGCCAGAAACAGAACGTCTGTTATCCAAGCAGGAAGCCCAGTCAGAATCGCAAAAAACCTTTAGTTGAACAATTGAAGAACAGGGAAAAAATAACCCCTGACCAAGTGTGGCTTTGACATAAGCCAGAATCCGATGAGCAGCTTGGAGATGGGGGACCCGAGGAGTAGCCATAAACTGGCTCAAGTGATCGACAGCAAAGCATAAGTCAGGTCTAGTGATGGTTAAGTAGAGTAATCTTCCAATGAGTCTTCTAAAAATAGTGGGATCAGGTAGAAGATCCCCATCATGATTTGACAGCTTCGAATTAACTTCCAATGGGGTGGATTTTGGTTTGCAACCAGAGAGGCCTGAATCCTTTAAAATTTGTAGTGCATAATAGTGTTGGCATAGAGAGATACCCTTGGAGGAACGAGCAACCTCCAAACCCAAAAAATATTTGGCTGGACCGAGATTTTTAAGCCTAAACTTGTTGTCCAATAGAGATGTAAAGTGCTGCACTTCATGAAAATTGTTAGAAACAACAAGTATGTCATCGACATAAACTAGCATGGCAGTGAAAGAAGAGTCTGAATGCTTCACAAATAAGGAATAATCAGATTGGGACTGTGTGAACCCAAGAGAGAGCAAAGTAGAAGAAAATTTGGCAAACCATTGCCTAGATGCTTGTTTGAGACCATACAGTGACTTGTGTAAATGGCAAACAGCATTGGGAAGAGACTCCCCCTTACCATGATAACCAGGGGGTAAAGTCATATATACCTCTTCAAGGAGCTCTCCATGTAAAAAAGCGTTATTGACATCTAACTGAATTAGATGCCAATTTTTGAGTGCAGCAAGAGCAAGGATCACCCGAACTGAAGTAAGCTTGGCTACAGGTGAAAAAGTGTCAGAAAAATCAACTCCCTCTTGTTGTGTAAACCCCTTGGCAACCAAACGGGCTTTGAACCTTTCAACAGAGCCATCAGAATTGTACTTGACCTTATATACCCATTTACAACCAATTGGGGATTTTCCAGGAGGAAGAGAGACAACTGTCCAGGTCTTGTTATTTTGTAAAGCCAATAATTCATCTTGCATGGCAGATTGCCATTCAGGGAGCTGGGAGGCTTCACATAGGATGTAGGTTCAAAATGATTATGCAGGGAATTAAAAAAGGCAGTATGTGTAGGGGAAAACTTTGAATAAGAAAAAGAAGCAGAAAGAGGATGGGCTGTGGAAGAGGAATAGATGTAAGTATCTAAGTGGCTAGGAGGCTTTTTAGTTCTGGATGGTCTAGAAGAAACAGTAATGGGTTTGGGAGGAATGGTTGGAGTTGATATAGGCAGTGGGGTAATTGGAGAGGATGAATTTTTGAAAGGAAAAACGTTTTCAATAAAGTTGACATCTCTTGAGATAAAAGTGCGGTTGGAGGCAATGTCAAGGAGTTTGTATCCTTTATAGCCAGGTGGATATCCTAAAAATACAGCAGGTACAACCCTAGGGGAAAATTTGTGTCTGTGTTTGGGTAGGGTAGAACCATAGCATAGGCAACCAAAAAATGCGAAGGTGGTCATAGGTGGGAGGTTTGTGAGATAGGATTTCAAAGGGAGATTTATGAGAAAGCAAAGGGGATGGGGTTCTGTTAATAAGGTATACAGCTGTTAACACACAGTCTTGTCAATATTCCAGGGGAATATTGGACTGAAAATGCAAGGCGCTAGCAACATTTAAAATGTGCTGATGTTTGCGCTCTACCACCGAGTTCTGCTGCGGTCTATCAACACAAGAGTGAAATAATTGTATACCCTTGGAAGAGTAAAAATCAGACAAAAGAAACTCAGGAGCATTATCACATCTTATTGACTTGATGGCAGTATTATACTGATTTAAAATGAGAGCATAAAAATCAATGAAAGCAGAACGAAAATCAGATTTGCATCGTAAAAAATATGTCCAAGTGAAGCGAGATGCATCATCAACAATTGTGAGAAAATATTTTGATCCTTCAACAGAAAAAGGGTGAAATGGACCCCAAATATCACAGTGAATAAGAGTAAATGAAGAAGAGGACAATTTGGGATTTAAAATAAATGGTAAGCGTTTTTGTTTGGCCAAAGGGCAAACATTACATGTATGAGACGCATCTAAAAGTGATGTAGTGTGTAAAACATCTTTCATTGAATTTAAAACAGAATAGGAGAGGTGACCTAAACGAGCATGCCAAAGCTCAGAATTGCATGAATTTACAGAGAGACAGAGGGGTGGGGGAATACAGGAATCAGGAAAAAAATTGGATGTATCAAGGACATAAAGACCTTCATGACGCTTAGCAATCCCAATCGTCTTGGCCGTTATAGGGTCCTGTATCAAACAATGGGAGGAAGAAAAATTAGCGATGAGAGACGAATCACGGGTCAGGGAGCTAATTGACAAAAGGTTAAAACGAAAAGAGGGGACAAATAAAACATTTTGGAGAGTAAAGGAAGGAGACAAAATAATTGAAGCAGAACCAGTTACAGGGACAGACGTACCATTAGGAAAAGAGACAATAGAAGCAGTGGAAGGAGGTAAGATGGAAGAATTAGAAAACAAGCGAGGAGAAAATGATACATGGTGGGTTGCACCAGTATCTAAAATCCAACAAGAATCAGAAAAAGAAGAAGGACGCTTACCATTAAAGCTTGCGACAGATGGGGAGGAATCAGTGACCGAAGCTAAGGAGGAAGTGACCGGAGCAGCAGAACGTTGGTGGATGAGCAATAGAAGATGCGCATACTGAGACTGTGTGATGGCAGCTGAGGGTGGTGGAGCGTGGTTAGGGTTCACGGTATTGGGGAAGTTAGGGATCAAAGAATGAGGGTGAGGGAATGGAAACACAGAGGAATTGGCTTGGGCTGAGGCATTGGGAGAATGGGCTGAGTGGGTGGGCAAATTGGGCCTAGGTGGCCTGCGCCTGTATCCAGGAGGGAACCCATGGAGCTTAAAGCACTTATCTCTAACGTGACCCTGGTTGTGGCAGTAGGTACAAAATGGGCGAGAACGGCGAGGAGCGGTGACGGTAGCCGTGGCTGGCGGTGGGTTCGAATCAGTTGAAGAAGGACAGTTAGGGGATGTGGATATTGAGTTGAGGAGGGGTGTATCAGGAGAGGTGGGAACATGAATGTTGATTTGGCGTTGCCTCTCTTCCTGAAGAACAAGTGAGAAAACCTTGGCAATTGATGGAAGAGGATCCATTAAGAGGATCTGAGCTCGCACAGAGGAGAAGGACTCATTAAGGCCCATGAGGAACTGAAGGGCATCATGTTGCTCTTGTGAAAGCGAAACTTGTCTCAGACCTCCACAAGTGCACGAAGGAGTGGGAATGTAAGCCTGGAGCTCATCACAGAGGGTTTTTAACTTTGTGTAATAAGAGTTGACATCAAGAGATCCTTGATGAAGAGAAGAAATATCTTGTTTCAGTTGGAAGATGCGTGGTCCGTTGGCTTGCTGAAAGCGAGTGCGTAGATCATCCCAGGCGTCAGAGGCATTTGAGAAATAAACCAAGCTATCTGCTATAGCTTTGGAGACAGAATTAAGTATTCAAGAGATGACCATTGAGTTGCACCGATTCCATGCTGGAAATAGGAGATCGGAATTGGAAGGACGGGGAAGAGATCCGTCTATGAAAGCTGATTTGTTTTTGGCAGTAAGAGCCAAAAGCATAGCTCGGTTCCAGGAGCCGTAATTGGTACCATCAAGGGTATGGGTCACAAGGACAAGACCAGGGCGATCACTGCTCTGCAGGGAGTAGGGGCTTGCTGTATCCTCCATTGAAGAAGCACCGGAGGATATGTCGGAAGTCGACGGAGGACGGTTGTTGCCTCGAGCCATAAAAAACCTGGCTCTGATACCATATTAGTTATTTGAGCACTCTGCATTTCCAGAAAGGAAGAGAAGAAAAACTAACTTTGTATATTTTCATTCAGTGTGTAATTGGTACAAATGATTCAGTATATAAAAGCACCCAAGAGAATCTGTTGTAACAAACTCATGGTGACGTGGCTACAAAACCGGAAAGAAATGCTAACAGGTGCCAAACAGAAAGCAATGCTAACAAATGCTAAGAGAATACAAATTGCTAACAGAATACACTCAGAAAAAGAAAAATATGTAATACTGTAATAAGATTTAAACACAAATTATATTACAGGGCTGTGAAATGATGCATTCAGGTAGTGGCATCATTCCTAAAAGGAGCTGATAAAAGTATCCTTGAAATGGGGAGAAGGGTAAAATTAAAAAAAATTAAAAAAAAATAGAAAAGGTTGATATTACAACCATTTTCATCCCATTCTGACTAAAAAAAATGGGCTCCCGAATTTTGTATTTTCTGGCACCTTCAATGAGCTTGGAGATCATCTTTCACAGCACATAGCTATCAAAGAGCCGTTAGCTGTTGTATATTGAGAGGGTCCATGGTCCATGATATGCGTATATATATGTAGGCAACCTTGAATTCTGAAATGCTTTCCCTTGAAATCGAGAACTCTTAATTAGTTGCCACTGCAAAAATCAGTGGTTGCTCCCTTGTCCACATGGATTGTGATCCTTTCTTCTCTTGGAGGCTGACATGGGCATGCCGTGGCTATGAATTTTGGGATCTCATCCCCTGGCATCAGCACAGGCAAGCTTTTAGCATAGTTCTGCTTCATCATCTGCTTGTCAAAAAACACCAACACAAAATTCAATTTATATAAAACGTGATTTTATAGTTGAATTGTAACTATTTATTACTTTTATTATTTTGGTTAGATCATGTAAAAATTGAATAACAATAATAAGAATATAATCAAATGAATCTAATTTTAATATATTTTAAAAGTACATATTATATTAAACATAAAAATATTTCTGCAATACAGATAAGTTATCTCCATTTACTTTCAAAACTATGTCGTTTTGGGATTGAAAGATTAAGAAATTATAATTATAAACACTATAATAATCCTAAAATAAATTAAAATTATAAAAACACCATGATTTTTACTTCAAAACGAGGTCATATTAGACTTACTGCAGATAAGTTATCTGCAGTAACTGAAAAAAAAAACAAATCCTATGTTAAAATTGATATATTTTATTACTATTTTTTATATGATAGAAACTTTCAATAGAACTATAGATTTTGTGATAAAATTATCAAATAAAAAGTTATTGAATGATGTAAGAAGTAATATTTTTTCAATGATCAATTTAAGTTAGATTTTTTTGTTCATTATTAATCATTCATCCTAATTTCATTTAATAATTTATGTGAATAATAAATTAAAATTATTAAATGCAATTGAAATTAATAATACCAATCTAGTAGCCACCATATATATATAATATGAATTTATGGATGTAAGAAAAGAGAAGTGATTACCAGAACAGGAAAAGCTGGTTTTTGGGGAGAGGAAGTTAAGTCTGCTTGTATATGAGGCTGAGGGGTCATAACCCTAGAAGATCGAAACAAAGATTGGAGCTTATTCCAATGTAAGCAGCAGCAAAAGAAGCCACAAATGAATAGTAAACAGGCAAAGAGAAGGGCCAAACCCAGAGGAAATCCAATGGGAACCCTGCTTGCTGCTGTGTCCTCAAGCTCCATTTTCTCTTCTTGTGCAGAGTGCAGTGTTGTCTTGTCTCCCTTCTTATTACTTATTTCTTATTTAAATAAGAAATAGATGAAGCACATTTGCCAGCTTCGTATTGATTAGGTGGTTGATACATAGTGGGGTGTACTTGCGAGTGGGTAGACTGTGGAAGGCGACAAAATATTTGTTATTGAGGTTGACATGAGTTAGTATTCAATGGGCCAAGGCACTTTCAATTTCGTACGGAAGGAAAAAAAAATTATAACAAAAGTTCTACATTTCTGCTTAAAATGACTTAGTGAGAAAGGTAGGGTTGAGAGAGGTTGCCGTATTGGGATCAAAGAAGAATTTTGGAAATATAGGACTAACTTGTCATATTAAACACGTTAGGGACTTAGGGGTATCTTCTTGATTTGTACCCTTTCTTCAATCACAACTCTTGCACGGATATTTACTAATTATTGTTGAAGTATCAATTTATAGCAACGATTGTTTTGCAAGGGTAGTGCTTTCATTTGGGGAAAATTATGAAGGATTCTTATATATTTATCATTAAAAAGTGATCTTGTTTTTTGTTTATAATTCCTCTTTTTATTTATTTTTATGAGAGGCCAAGTATCTTAATTTAGAGGACAATCTTGCCTTAATGTTGAAGTTTCTAGAATATCCGGGCCTACAAGGATCGAAGATGGATCCAAGAGTTTCAGGGGAATTAAGTTTGCCTCTCAAATGGGATACTCATAGTCAAAAATAGATCCAAATCCACTTCTTAAAGAAAAGAAAATAAAAGTTGAAATGGTGTTGTTATATCCATCAATCCATGTCGTGTAGATGATTATTTATTACTTTATTATTAATGTACATGCATCATGTTTTTTATTTTAAGTTTGAGACTTTCATTACTTTAAAAAAAAAATTATATCCAGTCCGGTTTTGAATCCTGATTAATTTGAGTCAATACAAGTAGACTCATTTAAAAGAATAAAATTCTTACAACATTTATTTACAAGTTAACAAAGATCGATCTTTTTTAAAGAGAATGGAACGTTTCAAAGACGATATATTCGGAGAGTGACTTTTTATTACAAGGAGTGGTTATTCTTTTGAAATTTCCACTACATAATTTTCTCACAAAAATTGTAACATTTTATAAGCACGAAATTTTCTCACAAAAATTGTAACATTTTATAAGCATAATCATATTTTAATTACGAATATTTTGTTAATTAAAACTGATAAGTTGAAAGAATTTAAGAATAAATAAATATTTTAAAAAAATTAAAAAATAACACTAACTCATTTTAACCAAATTATTGTAACTGTTTAATAATTTTCTCTGCAAAGAAAACAAAGGAAAGAAGAGGGGGAGTGGATCAGACCTCACACAGAAAAAAGTGTATAAGTTTCGGTTACTTTTGTTTTTTTCCTCTTAAATAAAGGGAAGAAAGCGAAAGGGGCCAACGAGCTTTGAGGTTGCCGCATCATCAAGCATTTATTGAGCCTTTAGATTAAAAAAAATATAAATGAAAAAGCTGTTGTCTATTATTAAACGTTTATATTTCCGGTCAGTGGGGTGTGTGTGTAACAACGTGTATATTAATTAGTTAAAAGATTACAAAAAAAAAAAAAAAAAGTTAAAAAACTTATACCAAGGTTTTTTTTTTTTTAAACTTAAAACACACGCGTTATTTGCTTAGAAAAATTAGTTATCAGCCCGTTAACTAATATAGATACATTTTTCGACCAATAAATTTTACTTATCATTAACTGATGTAAGATAAAGTGTGGGGCCTCAAGTGTAAACGAAGTGTTTTTCTTTTTCCTAAGATTATAATCCACAACAAAATAATTTTTAATCAACTTGATGATATGCAAATCTTATGGAGCAGGATGTAATTTTATTTGGATGCTTCTACAATGCTGGATATTATTCTGAATTTGGATGTAATGATAAATCATAAATGAACTGCAATCAAGAGAAAATAAAATGAATTAATGACTAAATTGTATTGTACTCTATTTAAAAGTAATTAGTCTTACATTTAAAAAATATGAGGATATCATTAAAATATAAAACACTTTTGAGAATATCAAATTAAAGTTGGAGGGAAAACCTTGTTTTTTTCTTTATAATTTTTTTTTCAAAATGAAAATCTTGAAATTTTCTAAAATTAAAGCAAGAACATGCACTCATTTAATTAATCTAAGTAGCGTTTATTTGAACTTTGAAGTTGAATATTATAAAATCTCCATCCAAATAAAACTGATCACTCTCCTATTCAGTTCAATCATTAATAACAAGGCGATTGCAATTGCATTAACACTGATGTAACAAGTGAGACTTTCCCACCATACTTTTAGTTAAACAGCACTTCTTTAATTATGAAACAGAAAGTACACTTGTTTGCTCAAATTCAGTTAATATGTTAAAGTCTTATATTGGTTGTGTATATAATTAATACGGAGTTTATAAGACTTTTGAGCACTCTTATTTTTTAGTTAATTTTTAAGATGATAATTTTAAGGTTCATAACAATTGATGTTTTTATTTAGAATTGAGATCACGGAAAGAACTATTTATAGACTGGATTAAAATGTCTTTAAATACTAAATATTAATAAGCGAGTGAAACTACTCTAAATTAGAAAAGGGCTATCATCATAATGTCAATTTTTAAAAGGGATGATAATATTACAAATTCCACATTAATTATATACAAAATGAACTCAACGTATCGTAACATAATATTCCAGACTTCGATAGCATATTAATCTTGTTGAAACTTGCTAGTTAGTCTCACAGAGATAGCAATACATAATATTCCAGACTTCGATAGCATATTAATCTTGTTGAAACTTGCTAGTTAGTCTCACAGAGATAGCAATTAATGTGGGAGTGAAACTAAAGCATTTCATAACTTTTAAAGTAGCTTTCCCAGGTGAGACGTCTTTCATTTTTATTTTTTATTTTTTGATACACTGTGGTTCATTTTTTTAGTATAACATTAAGGTGCCTAGATTACCCTACCACGACCATGATGAGATGCATGGCGAATTGGTGTTAAGCACGGTTGCTCATGAAAGGTTTCTCTAGCTTCTCCACGCCACCTAACTAAATAATGAGGGAGTGAATTTTTTTATATTGAAAAAAATATAATATGATGATATGAGTAATCATAATTATACAAAAGTGAATCAATGATGATAAAGAAAAGAGAAAAAAATATTAGAATAAATAATTATTAAATCATAATCGTTGATTCATCTTTATATAATTATAATTATCTCTGGTGATCATATCATATCTTTTTTAATTATGAGAGAGAATCCATTTTCGTATAGATGTTTTTCACCCTGACAGCCTAAAAAGTTTCATTTATTGTTAATGTTATTAAATCTCGGTCGGAAAATAAATTATTAGAATTTTGGTTTAGATGTTAATAAATAAATAACTGCCCCGGCTGCAATTTATCGACGCTTTCAATTTTTTTAATTAATTGATTAAATCATTTAATCGTTTAAATTGATTGGTTGATTTCGAAGAGAGAAATAAAACAAAGGTTTTAGGTTATTGAGAATGTTATTACAATTTGATTGGAAATCAATCAATGAGAATTTCACTGCATGCTCAATTGGTTTCATCGTTTGAATTGACCTACTCAATTTGTTGAATATGCTAGTTCAATGGTGTTTTAACTAATTTTGATTTACTTGGAACGTGTAAAATGATCGACCTAACTATCAATTTAGTTGTGACTTATGAGACTCAAATTAATATAGCTAATTAAGTGTCTAATTTACAACTAAACTGACCGGACCATCCGATTCAATTTTAAAAACCCTAATAATCGTCACATATGAATATAAAAAGTTTAAAAAAAAATGGGTCGCAATAACCTAACCATAAGCACATATGTTATTAATGAACTACCAAATTAAATTAATCACCTACTTATATATATTTAATCACAAATTTATTAACTATACTTAAACTAATTTAATTAGATATAATTCATTATTTATCTAGCAAATTACTGTATAGAATTATTATCCATGGTATGAAAGCTGTTTAAGGGTGGATTAAAAATTAAAATCTCTTATTTTATTATCCATTCACAGATGTAGAACAAATAGAAAAAATTGATTTGGCACTTACACTGGTCCAGGGAACTTAAAAGTAAAGTAGAACTTAACACATTAATAGATTAAGTGCCAAATTTTTAATAGAGTGATTTGACACACACTAGCCCAAAATATTAAACTATTGATTAATGGTTTTCTTAGTTTATTCTTAATTAATATGAAATTTTGTGACACACACTTGAAATTTAAATGTTATATAATTTAAAAAAAATTAATGTCATTTAAATCAATTAATAATATCCAATAGAGAGAGAGAGAGAGATGCAATCCAACCCGAATTTCTGTAAATAACTTTTCCTTTGGGCCAAGTACAATTTACAAGAGAACGGATTCAGATGAGAAAATAACACATTGACAGAGGCTTGTCCAAAAGCTTTCGAACGACTAAAAGCACTATTCCCTGGATAGTAAAGAAGATCACAAGTTCCCCAACATGATCTGTGTCTTAGAAAATGAATTCATAATCGGGAATATTTTGCTTTTGGGCCAGTAAAAAAAATTAATTAGAGTTTTATGTTGTTTTTCAATACTTCTTTGTTGTTATTTTAAAAGAACCTCAAATTTTAAAAGGATCTTAGCTGTTAATTATTGAAGATTGTTGAATAAGATTATAACATAAATAGTCTCTTTAGGACTAAAAATAAAATAAGCATAGTGACTAAATTTTGTATGAGAAGATAAAATCTATAATATGTTTTCCTATCACCATACTTTAGAAAAATAATTTCAAACTTATTAAAGAGTAATTGTTGTGGTGTATCATTTAACTGAATTTAAGTTTTTTAAATATGCTGTAAAAGATCTTTTAGCAATTATATATAATAATTATTAAATATTTAAATTCATTTTTGTGTGTGTGAGCGTGCACGTTT